TAAAGACAGGCACTTCTAGCTGACAAATGTCAAAATAAACGAAAGTTGTGTACTGGTCACCGTCACTCTAATGGTAAAAGAGTGGCACCTAAGACAATGACAGTCAACGGCTATTGGAGTCTATATACCGACAGGCACAAATTTTTTCTGCCGAGCAAAGTAAACGATGATAAATCATAAGCATTAAAAGCGAGTGGCTGTCATACTTTATTAATCTGTTAGATAAACTATAATAGTGTTTTTCTATTATGGGAGCATAGTACGCAGGACACGCGTCGATGGCACAGCGGTAGAATGCTTGCTAACCACGCAGGTGGTTCGGAGTTCAATCCCAGGCCAATGGACTCTTTTACCTCGCTAAGCCAGTAATAAGCGTGGTAAAGAGGAAAGGTTGGGCATGAGGCCAGCAACCCAATCCCGTAAAAATAAATACCACTGCTACTGAAACCTCAAAGCTCTAGCTTGAAGCCCTAGGTCCCACTGGGAATGCAAAGGAATAAAGAAAAAGTACGCAGGATGCAAGTACATCCCGCTGATGAGACCTTGAGTTGAAAAAAGACCTGTATCCGCAGTTATATTTCTGGTCATTGACAGCATTGACAACTACTTCATCGCAGATAAACCTCTCTTCTGCATCACTGCACTACTTCTCACATAGTAAGCCTCCCTTGGTTAGTGATTTTTAAGCATTCATAGTCGCTTGTTAACGAATTTTTGAAACTTAATGTTGACCTCGAATACATTAAAAAATTCCAGCCTGCATACAACTCAATGATGAGAAGTTTTCATATTTTGCAATCGATTTAAATTTATGTTCAAGTGTTGGTTTACAGGGATTTGATTTGATTGGCTACAGGATTTCATCATGAGCTAATATCGGTTACAGAGCCAGTGGAAAACCTGGGAGTACTTAACAGCTGTTTCTTCCCAGTCTGGAACTCCTCATCAGTACTCACTCACCACTGGGGTTCGAAACCAGGATCTTCTGGTCACAAGGCGGGCTCGTAGACCATTAGGCCACTGGGACCCGATTCAATGGCCCATGAATTCTAACTCCTGCTAGTTTACGATATAGCGCTTTCCAGTACTCCCAGGTTTTCCAGTGCCTCTCTATCCGATATAAGCTTATGATAAAATCCTGTAACCAATTAAATTTACACATCAAGAAACAGTATAATTCAGTTTTACTCAGTTTCGAAACATAAATTGATTTGTGTTTTTGTAATGTACTTTATGAATACAATATTCAATTAGACTCTGTTACCAAAATTTTTAAAAGGACATTTATATTTAGCTTCTTTTCGAATAGAATTTTTTCACGAAGCTATCCTCGAACACTGTGCTTGAATTAAATCAGTAATGGTTATGGTCAGTCGGTTTTTAAATCACTATAAAACCAGATCTTTCATACAACACTGTCTCACTTTAACATATCAAAAACATTGAGAATTGATACTTTAATAACCTTTTCACTTAGAATTAAACTGTTCAGACGACTCATTTAACCAGGGGACTCAAGAATATTAGAGAACTAATCAGTAAAAAAAATGGTTATCCAGATAAGTTGATTGATAAAAATATGAATTTAGCGTCAAGGCAAGCCAATATGGAAATTGCTCCAAAGAAGTCTTTGATCATAAAACTGTAGTCTCTCGGTGATAACATCAGTGTAATAGAAACACAGTACCTGAAGAATGCAGCAGAAAGAGCATTAAATGCATTAGAGGTACTCTGACTATTTAACACCACTCTAATTGTACGCTATTATTACATGAATGTAAAAACCTGACGGTTTCCCCCTCCCACTAAGCCTCTAAAAAGTTGTCATGGTGCTAGCGTGTCTTACAACATGCATGTACTAGCTCATTTGCTCCTGTGGAGCTGAATGCATTGGCTGTACCATATGTCCACTTATAAAACCCGCTTGGGAACACTACTAGCCTGGCTAGCAAAGGGAGAACGCTTGGTAATAGAATATCTCAGCTCCATTTGGAAATTCTGTCAAAGTCCTATACGACATCCGTTCAAACATCTCAAAGAGGGCGAGATCAAGGCATCTGGACATAGCTGAAACACTAGAGATGAAAAGTTTAAATAATAATAATAATTTGCTTTAGTCCAAAACAGTGTCGAATTCTCAGAATCTGGTACAGTGTCGTATCTAATTTACTCAACAACAATAAAAACAACAAATAATATTACAGAGTATACATAACCAGAATTGATAGTAGAAGCTTTTTGGTATTTGCAGTAACAACAAAGTCAAAAGTGTACAAAAAGTGCAAAATGATGATAATAGTATTGATAGCTAAAATTACAAGATAACTGAAATAGTGTCACAATAAATTACAAACAGGAGAAGATAAAATAGCCGTTTATTTTGCTAATTACACAATAAGTTGTAGGTTCCACGCTTAACACTATCTCTACCATATAGAACGCGGGCAAAATAGAGTATCGTTGCTTTTTTGTACTTGGTTGTACGAGCATATAATCTTTTATAATGACTTCTAGTCCTAAGTGATGAGATGCAAGGGGACAGTTGTAAATAAAGAGGGTGTTGAGAGTCAGGCAATATGGATTTGAACCATTTCTCACCTGATTTTAGGTGTCTGTCGACTTAGTGGCACACCACTTGCTCTACTGACAACCTTTGCAATATAATATAGTCCATTTTGAGTAGCCCAGAAAAGACTATGGGGGGGGACGATAAACAACCGTAAGTAAGATGCAAGAGTTAAAAAAAACTGTGAAATTAGAGGTTGATTGATTCCTGATTATCTTAACTTCTGAATATTAATGTCAAACGTCTAATCTTTCGTTTAGTGCAGACTGAATTCTGTCAGTCAGGTTTTCAAGCAATATGGCCACCAGTAAGTGGAATTTTCACTTAGACAGAAACGTAGTTCAGAAAAATGAACGTGACATCTTCATTCCAAATAACTCAAGTTAAAAATTGCTGTCTTCTGCACTACTTTTATTTATTATTGTTTCCTTTAATTCCTCCAGGAATATAGGGCTTCAGCCGTGCGTCTACATTGCGTTCGGTTCTCTGCTATAGTCTTCACCTGGCTCCATGTCTGCCCACACGTTTTCATCTCCTCTTCACACGACCTCCTCCAAGTCACCCCACCCTCGCACTGACAACCAACTCGCCGTTTCCCTTTCGGGTTCCACTCGAGCAATGGCCTGTCTTGTGATGTCACTTGATGGTTTCCTCAGAGTATGGCGTAGACGTGATATCCGACTATCGACCAAAGGGCGTGTGTACTGCTCAGCAGTCAGTTCGCTCCGTCCTCCTTTATGGCTGTGAGACATGGCCATTGAGAGCAGAAGACATGAAAAGATTATCTGTGTTCGATCATAGGTGTCTGCGTTCTATCTCCCGTGTGAAGTAGTATAATAAGGTGAGCAAAATTGAGGTTAGGCGTCGAGTGCTAGGTAAGGATGGGAAATCAGTCGACGAGACTGTGAAATTACATCGACTGAGATGGTTAGGAAATGTGTTACGTATGCCTAGTCATCGCCTTCCTCGACAATGGGCAATGTTAGCTGATATAGGGTCAGACTGGAAAAGAGCTAGCGGCGGTCAAACGAAAACATAGCACCAGTGACTTATGATTTCCAATTAAACTGTTTTGTTCTCCGTTATTACTATTCCTTTGTCTCACACCTCTGTTTACTGTCAATATTATGCATTTCTTCTACTCCCAGATCCCACTCCCAGAGATCTCTGTTCCTGATCTTTTCTGGCCATCTGATCTTGAGTACTGAGCGAAGACAACTGTTAATGAAGGTCTGTAGTTTGTTTGAGATGCTCTTTATGACGCGCCAAGTTTCTGATCCGTATAGTAGCACTGACTTCACATTGGAGTTGAAAATTCGAATCTTATTTTTGACGCTGAATGCTGTTGGCCTCTACACAGACTTGAGAGAAATGAAAGCTTGTCTTGCTTTTCCGATTTTTACTTTGATATCCTCGTCAGTTCCGCTTGTGGTTGAAACGATGCTTCCCAGGTAGGTAGTTGAAAGAGATTGTTTCTTTCAGGTTCCTTCCATTTATGCTGACTGTTGTCTGTTGTTGTTGTTGCTGTTGGTGGTGTTGCCCAGGAATCTTCATCACCTCTGTTTCCTCTATGTTCACCTGAAGTCCTATCTTTGATGCTTCTTCTTCTGCCAACTTGTCGCTTTTCGCTTGCATATCTTCCAGTTTGTGGGAAATCAGATATATATCATTGGCGAAGTCCAGATCCTCCAAGAGTTTGTGTGAGTCCATTTTATGCCTGTTTCCTCATTGCCCACTGTTTGTCGCATTATGCGGTCTACTGCAATCAGGAAAGTCATTGGCGATAGTAGGCAGCTAGCCTTGTCTTACTCCTGTCCTCACTTCGAAGGATTCCGTAAGTTTCCCGTTGTGGATTACTTGGCATGCAGCATTGTCGTGCAGCTGTTGGATGATATGTATAATTGTCGGTGGCACCCCATAGTAGCGAAGTAGTTGCCACATCACCTCTCGATCGACGCTGTCGAAGGCTTTTTCAAAGTCGATGAAGTTGAGATAGAGAGGTGACTGCCATTTAACAGGGTTTAACTGATCCATCTGTTTCAGAATACTAGCTGTTCATGAGGATACTGATATATTCTGTAAGATCCTAGTTATACACTCCACACAGCTAATCCTTATGCTAAGAGATCCTGAGCACTTTAATCTTATAAATAAACAATTAAAGGTTTTTATAATTAAATGACACCCTTAATAATAATAATAGTAATAATAATAATCTAATTCAGGAAATGATGAGCACTGAGTTCATGAGGACATTAACACACAGAGGAGATATTTTCAGTTGACAAAATTCATATTACTCGAAGAGACTGCTGTAAAGTTGCGTGCTAGTCACTGCCAGATCAAATGTATCTGAAGTGTATGCAAATCCATACAAGTTTATTTTCATTTTAATTCTTTTTTATTTTTATTTTAAACTTCTTTTCATATATAGTATCCCTTTGAAACACGAACGCTTCGAAGTGAATACAGTCTATATGACAATTTACAAACAATAAATTTTGATAAACGTTTAGAAGCTATGGAAATGAAACTACGTAATCTGTTGCTTGAGAAAAATACACCAAATTGCATGGATAAATACGCTGTGAAAATTGTTACCGAAACTTATCATCCAATAACAACTATGAATCATCAGCATTGTACGGAATTCTGTCAAGGTGCAAAGCACGCAAATTCAAAAGTGAATGAATGTTGTTTACACTTGGATTTGAATGAATCACAATCTTGTAGTTATTGTTTAAATCAATCAGCTCGTAGTCATCGCACGGTTCAAACACCGGATACTTTCAAAAGAAGTAATAATTTCATTTTAAAGATTTAATTTAGTCAGTTTGAAATTAAATCATTCGGTTTTCAAAAAAGAAAATGAAAAACTTGAAATGTATTTCAGTTAGAAAAGAATGCAGCTTTCTAAATCTTTTAATCAGTCAGCATTTCGTCTTGAGAGTTATGAATTAAAATTTTTGTTTCACTTCAATAAATTTCTTGTCCATGAGGGTCACTTAGTTCAGGCATACTCACTAGTTATGACTAGAACACCTATTTCCCTTTATAAATATGAATACTGACCAAATGGCAGGTAAAACCATTATTTTCTTAACAGTAGAGTTACTTGTACAAGTGAAACGTTAACTCACTTCAATTAACACATACTGATGAGGCTGTATTATTATATTATTATTATTGTTCCCTTGGATTCCTAGTGGAACATAGGGCTTCAACTGCACGTCTCCACTTGCTTCTATCTTCTGCTGTACTTTTCACCTGCGTCCATGTTATTCCATACTGTTTCAACTCCTCTTCACACGATCTCCTCCATGTCACTCTTGCACTGACGTCCCACTCGCCGCTTCCCTTTCGGGTTCCACTCGAGCGTTGGCCTGACGCGCGATGTCACCCAGTGGCCTCCTCAGCGAGTGAGTGTCCAATCCATCTCCAATTTCTCCTGCATGTTTGTTGAGCGATTGGTTCTTGTTTTGTTTGTTTCCATAGTTTCTTGTTGGTTCTTGTTCTTTCCGGCCATCTGGTCTTCAGTATAGAGCGAAGGCGGCAGTTGTTGATAAAGGTCTGCAACCTGTTGGAAATATTCTTTGTGATGGGATAATGACTATTGATTATTAACGGAAAGTTATACGTGACCTGTCTACATAGACATTAAAGGAGCTTTCAGTTGCTGTCGTGCTGACTGAATCAGTTATGTTCCGCAGGTTATTTGATGGGACAGGTGATAAGTCGCCTAGCTGTTTCTGATTGTTGTCTTACACTTTACTTTTTATTTCAACTTCATCCACCTTAATACTATAAAAATTGACAAATGGTAATCATACTTCTGTGTTATGTCCTAAATGAACGAGCTTTTGAATTCAATAAAGACTAACTCTTATAGTGAAATTAAACTGGATAATATTTTAACCGCCATAATAAGGGCTGAAAGTGAAATAAATGAGGAGGCTAACTATCCCTGACAATAGGTGTTACCGTTATGTCTCTCATGTTAAGTGGTGATGAATAACATTGAGCTGGGAAGTTAACTGTTAGGTAAGGAGGTAAATCAATCGGTGAGCTTGAGGATCTGCATCAGTTGAGATGGCTAGGACATGTGTTACTCATGTCAGGCCATCACTTTCCTCGTCTAGCAATGTTAGGGGAAATAGAATGAGATTGGAAAACAGCTAGGGGGGTGGTCAAATCAACGGAGGAGGGTAAGACAGTCGATGTGGTTGTGAAGTTGCATAGGTTCAGATGGCTAGGACAAGCTATATGCATGAAAAATTGTAATCTTCCATGAGCAATGTTAGCTCTGACAGTATTAAATTCGAGAAGATTTATGGGTGTTCAAATTAAAACCTGTCATCAATCTATGTAGTTTTTGGCTGTTGTCTTGAGTTATTTAGGGAGGTGTAGACTGTCTGGCTGGGGTCGTCGAAACGCTGATAAGCAACGGCTTTTAACCTTTGGTGAGATGGCTTAAAATCGTTCTCAATGGCGCAGATACATTCAGTCTTTATGAACCACCTAGTTCACTAAATCTCCTCCCCCATTCTCCTTTTAATTGTTCTTTTTCCTATACATTATAGTTTGTTTGCACTCCTTTTACTTGTTTGCCTTTATATGTGCTTTCGTGAAGTGTGCAACCTGAGGCATTGCACTTTTTTACAAATCTCTAAGTTGAAAATTCAATCCAGTCGTTTCTACAATATTATAGTGTGGATTAGTCATTTAAGGAGTTACTAAACTAAACATAAGTGAAAATGTTTATATGCAATACTAGATAAATAACACAAGTTCGGTGCGTCGGTGGCATAGCGGTTAGGACGCTCGCCGACCATGCACATGGTCCACGGTTCGATCCCCGGCCGATGCACTCCTTTACCTCACTAAACCAGAAATAATGCTGGTGAAGAGGAAAGGTTGGGCATGAGGCTAGCAACCCCATCCTGTAAAATAAACACTGTTACAGAAACTTCAAGCCTCTAGCTTGAAGCCCTATGTTCCACTGGGGAACGTGAAGGAAAAGAAAACACAAGTTCGAAATAGGGAAGCGCCAATTCACATCTTTCTAACTGGATGATAACAGCTCCATCCAGATACATAATGCTACTCAACTGTATTTTAGAATAGAATGTGAATACAAAAGACTGAAGAGAGGAGAGTCTAGAGCTTTTCAAATTCCCCATGATTATCTAAATAAGCGCCTCGAAAATGAATTTTACCAACCAGCCAATGAGTAAAAAACCTAAACCACAATATGGTTCCTTATTGTTCACTCTCAGTTAACTTGATATGATCACAAAGTTCAAATAATACTCATTAATTTAATTGAATTTTAGATTTTCCCGTCGATTGATTGGACCGAAGTGCTCGGTCTCAGGTTGATATGTCGGCTTCTTGTGTAGATGCTTCGACGATGTCTGGGCATTTAATTAGTTTTTAATTTGTGGATGGTGACTAGCAGTGGAATCCAGGATGCGCGTTTCGTCCTATTCGGGACTCGTTATCTGGATGTACCTGCACTTCCTAGTGATGCTTCGACGTCGAAGCATCTGCACAAGAAGCCGACATGTCAACCTGAGACCAAGCACTTCGGTCCAATCAATCGACGGGAAAATCTAAAATTCAATGAAATCAATATGACCCATTGCACAAGAAGTGGCTCTCGTGGCCCAATTGGTCTAGTGGATAACGCTTTGGCGTTTGAAACTATGGGCACTGGGTTCGAGCCACGGTAGGAACATCATCACTCACTGGGAAATGCAGGCACATCCGGATGACGAGTCCCAAATGGCACGAAATGCGCATCCTGACTGGATTCCACTGCTAGTCACCATCCACAAATTAAATACTCATTAATCTCAGAGATAAGTTGTAATCTGTATATTTTGTGTACTTAGTCTTTTAACAAAACTTTAATTATATAATTGTTTACATTAACATAGATTCACTCTTTGACAAATCAATTCAAACAACATTAACAACAAATAATGTCGTCATGAATTCAAGGTGTTATAATACAGCAGCAAATTATATGGATGAAAATCAAATTGGCGCCAGTTCTAATTTATCTGAATCAATAAGAATGACGAAGAGTCCATCAGTTAATATAATGTAATTATAAGTTTTTTTTTAATAATATGTCTAATATTTCACTTCCAGTGGTCGTAATAATTCTTGTCTGTCTGGAACAAAATGTTGTCAAGATGGGAATCAGATGTTAAATAATAATAATAATAATATTGACGACGATAATGATTCCATTTCTAAAGTAAGACTTTCTATATTTTACTCATAATAATTCACGTTAAAATAGTACACATCAAGTGAAGGTCTTGAAATAATTGCATCACCGAATTCTCGAACAAGTTATTTAAATGGCAAAGAGAATACAATCCAACAAAGTGTTTTTAATCGACTGAGGCAGTCACACAGTGTAAGTACTCATTTTTTTTAATGGTAAAATATTTGCTATAACTTTGTGTAAGTAAATTTTTGTTTTTCCCATTGACTGATTGAACTGAAATGTTCGGCTTCTGTTGGTATGTCGCCTCCAAGTACGGACGGACGCTTCAACAGTGTCTGAAGATTAACCTTGATATTATCTGGTGGATGGTGACTAGCAGTTGAATCCAAGATGCGCATTTCGTCCTATTTGTGACTCGTCAGTTGGATACATCTGCAGTCGCCAATGAGTGTCAGTGTTCCTACTGTGACTCGAACCCAGTGCCCTTCGTTTCAAACTCTAAAGCGTTATCCACTAGAATACTTGGCAGAACTTTGATTTAAAAGAGTAGTTTAAATGCCCTAGGAAGTGTTTGAAGTTGAAAGACGAAAGCCTTCTTCTTGTTAGATGAACTAGCAGCTCCTGTCAGTTTCAAGAATACCCAATAATATTTTTTTTCTAAGTTAGGAAAATTCCACAAAAATTGAGGATCATTCAAACCTAGATGACCAAGGTAAGGATAATGTCTGAACTAGCTTCTTTTGGACGCACAAATTAGGCTTCTTAATATGGATCCCAAACGATTAGGCGTGTTTCTCGTCGGATTTTCGAACATCACCCTGCGTGGTTAAGTAAAGGACAAACAAAATCTATTCGCAGTGCTATTCTATCTCATCTTGTGGATACAGAACACACGACTGATGTTAACCAGGCTTTCAGAGTCATTTACCGCATACCAACAAATCTTAACTTCGCCTTAAGAGTTCGACTACTAAATATTACGGAGGCTGGCCGTTGGTATCCATATTAAGAAGCCTAATTTGTGCGTCCAAAAGAAGCTAGTTCAGACATTATCCTTACCTTGGCCATCTAGGTTTGAATGATCCTCAATTTTTGTGGAATTTTCCTAATTTTAGTTGATATTCTATTTGCCACTATATCTTTATTATTATTATTATAATTTAGACATTTTTTTCTAAGTTGTCTTTATACTCTCCTTAAACGAAGGGAAACAGTAAATATGTGCAAACAGGGTCATTTTAGCTTTCAGGAATATACGAAAATTTTAAGTTTATTCAGAAATCTTCAATGTATTCAGGATAATCCAGCAAATAAATTAATTCACTAGTCACTGGATTCAATTAAACTAGATTTAGCCTCAGGACATTAATCTGTGTGACTTCTGGATAATCCACGTTAGGATAGTTAGACTCACGATCAGTAAACATCAAAACAACTTTTGAGTGAAAAGTTTTAGCTAACAGAAAAATATTTCCACCTTTTATTTTGAAATAAACAGTTTAGGGAAGAGTCTCTTTTCGGTGAATTCATTTTCTTAGCTGTACAATCGCAAATATATAAATGTGTTATTTTGTATGTATGTGTACAGTAAGTTTGTCAAACAAAAATACAATTGGTCAGGGTTATTTTAACCAAACAGATGGAGATTGGAAATTGGAGTTACGTAACACAAGATCAGTTAAGAAAATTAGGTGTTAATGAAATTAGGGTAGTGACAAAGGGTGCAGCAGGTCGGGTGTGAGGACAAATACTCGCCGAAGACATTGGCTAGGGGTCGCGCTATGTCGTGAATTGGCAGAAGTTAGAATTCATGGGCCATTGGATCGGGTCCCAGTGGCTTAATGGTATACGAGCGCGTCTTATAACCACAAGGTCCTGGGTTTGAATCCCGGTGGGTGCGTACTGCTGAAGAGTCCCAAACTAGGACGAAACAGCCGTCCAGTACTCCCAGGTTTTCCAATGGTTCTCTAACTGATATCAGCTGATGATGAAAATCCAGTAACCAACCAAATCCCTACAAACCAACACTTGAATAACAAAGGTGATGAGCTGTCACAAACAGTTGTTAAAAGAAGTTATGTGTAATAATATGAATAGTTTGATGAGTGAGTTTTACTCAGGATGCACATAGGAACAAAGTAGATAATACGAAGTTACCTAAGAGTTATAAATGAATACAAGAATTATAAAGAATTATATGCAATTAAAGAACAGGCAAAGAAACAAAATTAAGTCATCAAAATCAAAAAAAGTTGTTACCATTACAGTAGAAGTGGTTGAGTAATCCTTTTTTGTATGCACAGCTCCAGCTTTTCTATGTGAATGGCCAGAGCTTCAGCGATACAAAGGAGACGAAACCGTATTGCCTTTGATAGGTTGTTCTTGACTCTGTAGATTACTCTGAAGGAGGCGTTCGTTGAAATGCAATGATCAGTGCTGACCAGGTGTTCAATTATCGCACTCCTTATTGCACCAGTATTTCCTTTTCGCAACCATGCTGGATAGTGTTCTTGAATCCTCTTGGACAACGTGCTCGTCAAACGGTCATTTATTTAGATGTACAATCGCAATTACGTATAGTTATTTTAGTGTGTGTGTGTGTGTATACAGCTTAGGAATAAAACACTGGTTCGGGGTATTATTTACATCATCAAAATATTTCAAAACAGTGATGAATGATCAAAAGAATTTAGAAAAAATTTCATGTTACTGATACAGCATAGAGACAAGTATTAAAATAAATTACGTATTAGGTGAAGATAGTAAACAAAAGGTGTATTAGGAAAATGATGTGAGTAAATTTCATAAGCAAAATGCAAAAACAAAAAAAAGAAAGTGTTAATAACAAAATATTGATAACATTTGAACTTAGATCTACACCTAAGGTGGAAGAAGGGGATGAATAAATTCCCATCTGAATCACTAAGTGCGTCGGTAGCATAGCGCTTAGGACGCTCGCCAACCATGCACATGGTCCCGGGTTCAATCCCCGGCCGACGCACTTCTTTACCTCGCTAAGCCAGAAATAATGCCCGTAAAGAGGAAAGGTTGGGCGTGAGGCTGGCAACCCATCCTGCAAAAATCAAACACTGCTATAGAAACTTCAAGCCACTAGCTTGAAGCCCTATGTTCCACTGGGAACGTGAAGGAAAAAAATGAATCCCTAAGGCCTTTCTTCGACTTTTTAGAGAACTTTGAATAAAATTACCTTCGGATTTTGTGGCCAGTGTTGAATATATGTTCAATTATAGCATTCTTTATTGATCCATTGTGATCGCACTCTAGCCAAGCAGAATAATGCTCCTTCACTCTTCTAGATAAAACACGCATTGAATAACCCGTTTGTCTGACTTCACAGGAGCAAGTGAATTGTTAGATATACATACATAGAAGTGGTCAGGTACGATAGTTTACCTTAAGAGTCATTGAAGAGAATTGGGCGTCAAGAGAATCCCAGTGATAATCTAGAAGCAAAGAATGTTCTTTCCAGGACGTTTGATGTTCCTTTCTTTAGAATGTCGTCCAGAAGGTCGCCTTTGAACGCCACATTGATGCATAGCATCTTCATCAGCACAGAGATGTGGTTTTGTTTTGTTGGTTTTGAGTTTTATATGTGTTGTCTATGAAGCGTTGAAAGTAGCCATTTTCAATCAGTGTCCTCTTCAAAATGTTATCTCTTCATCTACCGACTCAGGGCTACAAGTTCTTCTGATCCTAGTCGCAAGACGGGCAGCAATTTTGCTCTAAATATTACCAATAACAAAAACTTATCATTGTGTGCAAACAATTGAAATATAATTATGCTTTATTAGATATTATCAAGTTTCGCTTGTGATTTACGGGTACCCAACTGTAGAAGTTTGTCAACTGGCTGTTCCACGTAGACTTTATATATACTGATCTTTTTATTTTAAACTGAATTTTAAGTACTAAAATTCGTTCAAGTTTGACTCCGGATTGTTAACAGTTAGAGAATCATTGAAAACCAGGGAGTAGTGGACAGCTGTTCCATCCTAGTTTGGGACTGACCGGCAGTAGAAGTTAGAATTCATGGGTCATTGAATTGGGTCCCAGTGGCTGAATGGTATACGAGCTTGCCTCGTAACTCAAAGGTCCTGGGTTCGAACCCCAGTGTGGGTGCGTACTGCCGACGATTCCCAAACTGGAATGAAACAGCTGTCCAGTACTCCTGGGTTTTCAATGATTATTCTAACTGCTAACAATCTGGGGTCAAACTTGGAAAACAAATCTAATCCTTACAAATCAACTGTTGAAAACTACAATTCTTGTCCCACTTATTTTTCATATGCTTTATTTATTTTAATTTACTTTTGTTTCCTTTATTTCTTCTCATTACGGGAGTGTAAATTATGTGCTATAACCGTAAGCTGCATTATAGAATAAACAACTTTTAAGTTAATGTAACTTCCTCATACTTTGAAATCATCTTTTGTAATTACTGCGTTGTTTTTTTTTTTTTTTTATTGTTCCAGTTTGAATCTGGACTGAACAATGAAGCGGGTTATGATGACAATGATAAACTTCCTGCTACTTCAAGATCTTATAAAAGAAGTCGTCTTTTCGATCCGAATTCGCATTATGCATCCACTGGACCAAGTGTGCACAATTCACGTAAACCATCCGTGCTAGAATCATCGTTTGAAACAATTTATGATCAAACAAAAATGTGTTATAAACTGTAATAAAGAAAAAAAATTGAGAAACACTCTGGCTAAACTGTGCACACTTTTGACATATTTTTTTGATTTAATAAAGCCAAAGATTATAATAACAAGCCTAAACGTCAGCTGAAGTTTGTAATACTGTAACAACAGAGGGCAAGACACGGAAGCCAAGGTATACTTTTAGGTGATCAAACCGCTATTTATAAATATACAGTTTTATATTCTCTAACCAATCATCGAGCGTGTGATCTCGGCTTACATTAAACGACTTGAAATAGAATATTCAAATACATAGTATTCTGTTGCTAATGCCGAATTGAACTGTGGGAATATGTCAGAATAATATTCCGTTGGTACACATTGTCAGTTTCACACCACCATAATACAACAACAAATACTTGCGTTCAAGTATTGATTTGTAGTAGTAGTTACTTGGGGTTCCAGTGGGAAGTCGTAACCAGTAGGATGCAGAAGGTCGGGTGTGAAGACAAATACTCACCGAAGACATTGGCTAGTTGTTGAGCTATATCGTGAATTGGCAGAAGTTAGAATTCATGGGCCATTGGATCGGGTCCCAGTGGCTTAATGGTATACGAGCTCGCCTTGTAACCAGAAGTTCCTGGGTTTGAAGCCCGGTGGGTGCGTACTGTTGAAGAGTCCCAAACTAGGGCGAAGCAGCTGTCCAGTAATCCCAGTTGGTTTTCCAATGGTTCTCTAACCAATGTCAGTTCATGATGAAATCCTGTAACCAAATACTTGCGTTATTTAGTTATTTCATGGGAAACTTAGTGTGTACTCTTCAACAGCAAAATAGGATTCATGAGAAAAAACCACTAGGTGATGCGTCACTGTGAAATTACATCGACTGAGATGGTTAGGACATGTGCCACGCATGCCTAGTCATCGCCTTCCTCGACGGGCAATATTAGCTGACATACAGTGAGGCTGGAAAAGAGCTAGCGGCGGTCAAACGAAAACATGGCACCAGTCAATGAAATCCACAACAGTTAGTCTAAGCCACGTAGGAAGATGTCGACTTCCTGGTTGGGGTCCTCGGGACGGTAAAAACCAATGGTTGGAAAAAATTGGTGACATGACTCAAAATCGTTCTCAATGGCCAATGCAGATGCATCCACTCCTTGTGACTTATGATTTCCGATGAAACTGTTTTGTTCTTCGTTATTACTATTCCTTTGTCTCACACCTATGTTTACTGTCTCTATTATGCATTTCTTCTACTTTCTTCTCTTGCTTTGTGTGGTACATGGAGTGTGGCGACTTGAACTGCCGCACATATGTGCAAAGTTCTATGTCGAAAACAGACCGACCGTCACTGAAAATCATGAAGCTTTGAGGAGTTATTTGGTTATAGTTTTTAACTTCGTAATTTAAAGACATATAATGTATGCAAATGAATATTATTAGAGCCAAAATTGTGCGTCGGTGGTTCGCCAACCACACACGTGGTCCAGGGTTCCGTCATCGGTCGACGCGCTTCTTAACCTCTTTTAGCTGGTGAACATTGAACAGTTTGTTTATTCCAGCTGGTCTCCATTAAAGGGAGACAAGATTACTGTCATTGCTCAATCGCGTACTCGTTGGCAGAAGATTGGAGAAATACGATCAGAGACTGTGGCACTGATTAACCATTACAAATCTATCTCGTTATCGCTTGAAGAATAAACAGTCGTGTTGCCCGACCGTTTTCTGCTGTACTGCGTCGGTTACAGTGCATAGTGTTATGCGCATTAAGCTTGGTCTTCTGAAACCAGCGATAGGTTCAGGTTCTCTGCGATCTGGATATTTGACAGATTGTACTGTGTCTGGTAATGAGGGAAGTTTGGGCGTGAAGCCAGCAACCCCCTCCGCGTATAATATAGACATGCCACTGCTACTGAAACTCCAAAACTCAAAGTTTGAAGCCCTAATCTCTACTAAGAAAGCAAAAGACTAAAATAAAGTCTAAAAAGGAAACCCACATAAAACTTCAAACCAGCCGATATTATGAGGCTTCTGGTGATTAGGTAATCAAGTGCTCAATACGAAACCTACATTCCTATTGCGTCTTACTGTTTGTGCATAGTAGAAACCTTAAAATAAGATTATGCCATTTCAAATTAGTCGATTATTCATGAAATAATTAGGTGATTCCGACTGGATTTGACATCTTCATCCGTCCAGCCTGTGGTTGACACGATACTTCCTAGATAAGTGAAGCAAGTAAACTCTGTCAAATCACTCCTGCTGATGGCGATTGAGGCTGGTTGTCGTTGTTGCTGCTGCTGTTCGCTGGTTATCTTCATCACCTCTGTCTTCTCTATGTTCACCTGCAATCCTGTCTTCGCCTGCCTGCCTCTTCAGCCAGTTTGTCGGGTTTCGCCTGTAAGTCATCGAGTTTCTGTGACACTGGATATATATCATCCACGAGCGAAATCAAGATCTTCTACAGTCTTCTGATCGGTGGTCCAGAGTATTCCTGTCATCTTGCTGCCCCCCAGTTTGACTCATTAACCAGTCCACTACATTTAGGAATATCATCGGTGATAATAGGCAACCCTGTCTTACTTGGGCGCTGCTTGGTCGATGATGATGCTTAGAGTTATTATGATTTAATATTCTTGGCCAAAGTATCTGTATCGATCATTCTTACGAGGAAAATTCTCATTAAATAGCAGTTAACACTTATAAATTGACCAGTATTTTAGGATCTGAATGTTAAATGATTCTTTGCAGCAAAGCTGTCTCTTAGTGAAAAATTCATTGATACTATTCTGAACTCACTTCAATTACTTACTAAATACAGAAACAAAATAACTTATAAACTTAATAATCCTGATATTAGATAGTTGGAGGCAATCGGCAGGAAGCCTTTGACCTAGGTTTCGTGCTAGTTGGCACTAATCAGCAAGGCGTATCTGCAACCTCGAAGGAACTCATGTCCCTTCTGAGGTAGTACTGGACACATTACACAAGTTACTGACTAGTGTCCAATCAAAATATCCACCACAGTCCTACAGGGGGTCAATCGCGAGCCCGAATAGTTCAGTGGTAACGTCTCTGACTGCAGGCGGCACACGGTGACGTGGGTTCGAATCTTAGAAGGGACATGAGGTCCTTCGACGTTGCAGATACGCCTTGCTGACTAGTGAGCGCCAACTAGCACAAAACCTAGGTCCAAAGCCTCCTGTGGCCGATTGCCTCCAACCATCTTATATCATCAAATCAATGTGCACCGAGATGGCGAGCTACGTAGAGTGGTGTCCAATCAAAAAATCCTCCTGTTATTTACTATAGATGAGTAATACAATAACTCTGTAACTAAGATCCATTACTCTCCGATGATTATACACGTTATTAATTCCCTTACAAGTCAACAGAGCATTAAGTAGAACCACAAACACTTGTAATTCGTAACTTTACAACCTGTCTGTATCAGTTTTCCATCTGACCACATGTAATAAAGTCATTAGACATGCCGACCTATTTCGCCTCCTTGGAATGTGACAATAATTCTGACGAGTTGGTGGCCGACAAAATCTTAGCATTCACATAACGCCCGTTCAACTTTCTCTAAATTACCTCCCTCATAGCACAAGCAGTGTCGAATTTTCCTATTCGAGTCAAGTATACTGTACAGCAATCCTTTTTGTCCTAGTACATGGCTGAAAAACATGGCCATTAAGCCCGGATATAAAAAAACAGCCAATGTTTTATCACCGTTTCATCGCTAAGATTTTCCACAATATGAACAATGGAAAAGTTAAGCATAAAACCGTAAGCAAGTCACTTAGGGAAGCTAAAAATCTCCATCACTTGATGTAACCATGGCTACTTATTACCTACCTCAACGTGTTGCTAATGGGAGTAGGAGTGAAAAAGCGAAGAGGGACTACACCAAAGTATATATATATATTCATATAGACAGTAAACATGAAGAAGATGAATTAAAATTGTATGAAAGGTTCAAAGCACACTCGTAATGGAAAACTCGTACAGATGGGTGACTGCATAAACAACGGAACCTCATCCACTCAATGAGTCACAACATTTGCAGTCATGGAAGAGGGGCTTGATGCTCCAAAAAAAGGATATTCATAAAAAAAATGGCTACCAAGAACGCTTCGATACAAAATCCATCAAGCCTACACTTTTTCCCCGGAAAACGTCCCTGCCTGAATCATCAATTCAATGGAGATTCATGGGGAGAAATACTAAGAAATCGTTGGTCCCATTCAATGAGGAAAACCCTCACTGCTAAACTTCAACCTGCTGTTTCTACCAAAATCATTGATTCGAATGAACGTGAAGGGTAAGCTGATCCTGTTAGTGTGTACCTATCAATTCACCTGTTTGTGTGGAGCTAAGCATATCAACCATAATAAGCGTCTGCTATCCAAACGCATCATCGAACATTTGCCGTGATAGATTTACAGCGAAGAAGAAAAGAGATCTCTCCCCACCCGCATGTATATCTATTCTGGAAAGTTTGAACGATTCTGAACACTAAGCAATCTCAAAAACCAACTTCCGAGTAGGCGAAAATCTTACCAAAAGAGTATGAATCAAACTTCTTCAAAATTTACATGTTAAATCCTGAACTCTTCACACAGAAGTTTGTTAATTCACTGAAATTAACAATATACCTAATTTGCCGTCAATATCTGACGCGTACTAGTTCAAATTTTATTTGTATCCTCTCTCGCCTACTATTACACTTCCTACCGGCGTCCAACAATCATTACTTTTCTTGACCTAAAGGCGGTATTCGATTCTGTTGACCGAGAAGTTCTCTGGCGATGCTTGGTTGTAAAGGGAATGCCAAGAAAATACATTGCACTGATTAAGGCACTCTACTCGTACTCATGCAGCCAGGTGAGGGCTTACGGCGAGTTGTCATCTGAAGTGGTGACGACTAGTGGCATCCATCAAGGATGCCCATTATCCCCATTCCTATTCAACTTCATCATAGATGTACTAATGGACTTAACCCTAACTCACTTCAGCGACTCAGGGATTGACTTGCTACCAGGGAATAATCTCGTTGACTTAGAATATGCGGACGATATAGTCCTTCTAGGCGAGGACTCTGACAAAATGCAGAGTCTACTGAACACCTTGAGCAACAATCTTCATATGTTTGGCATGTGATTCGCCCATGTAAAATGTAAGATGATGCTACAGGATTGGACTTCACCGACCCCTAGATTAGAAATAGGAAGTGAAGTGGTAGAGCACGTTGACCGCTTCACTTACTTGGGAAGTACCATCAACCCCAACGGGTTGATCTCCGATGAAATCTCAGCACGAATACAGAGGGCTAGGTTCGCATATGCCAGTTTACGCCGTCTCTGGCGTAGACGTGATATCCGACTATCGACTAAAGGGCGTGTGTACTGCTCAACAGTCCGCTCCGTCCTCCTTTATGGCTGTGAGACCTGGCCATTGAGAGTGGAAGACATGAAAAGATTAGCTGTCTTCGATCATAGGTGTCTGCGTTCTATCTCCCATGTGAAGTGGTATAATAAGGTGAGCAATATTGAGGTTAGGCGTCGAGTGCTAGGTAAGGAGTGGAAATCAATCGACGAGGCTGTGAAATTACATCGACTGAGATGGTTAGGACATGTGTTACGTATGCCTAGTCATCGCCTTCCTCGACGGGCAATGTTAGCTGATATAGGGTCAGGCTGGAAAAGAGCTAGCGGCGGTCAAACGAAAACATGGCACCAGTCAATGAAATCTACAACAGTTAGTCTAAGCCACGTAGGAAGGTGTAAACTTCCTGACTGGTTGGGGTCCTCGGGACGGTAAAAACCAATGGTTGGAAACAATTGGTGATATGGCTCAAAATCGTTCTCAATGGCTAGCGTAGATGCATCCACTCCTTGTGACTTATGATTTCCAATGAAACTGTTTTGTTCTTCGTTATTACTACTCCTTTGTCTCACACCTCTGTTTACTGTCTATATTATGCATTTCTCCTACTTTCTTCTCTTGCTTTATGTGCTACATGGAGTGTGGCGACTTGAACTGCCGCACATATGTGCAAAGTTCTATGTCGAAAACCGACCGATTACACTTTCACTCTATATGCTGCTGATCTCGACTTGATCTTCTTTTAACTTCAGTTGACCTCTGCTAATTCTTATCAGTTAAAGTTACATCAATCGAATTAATTCATTTTGCTTCAGTTTTTACCTGATTAGTGTTTACTGTACTACAGAATTCATAAACTCTTGACTGTTATCTAAAACCTACAGTTCTAATAACACAAATTTAGAAACATTCATTTTGTGGTTATGCAAATGTATTATATATACGGTTGTACAGTTTGAAAATGGTGTCTCTGAAAAGAATAACATTGTTGAACACCTCTTCTTTTTAAAATCAAAACATTTTACCAAAAAAATTGAATTTCCTCTACTAATTGCTTTAATAAAAAAGTAGGTAGGAGATATTCATTTATGCACTCAAATAAACAAATTTAAAGAAATGGTTGAAAAAAAAACACAACTAAAATAGAAATCCTTGCATAATAATTCACACACACACAAGCTTGTTACTTTTTACATTTATTCATGACAGATTTAAACTCTTCAAAGGATACAGTCCCGTTTTTATCAGCATCCGCTTCACAGATCATTTCATCAATTTCACTGTCAGTTAGCTTTAAGTGTAAACTTTGCAGAACACTTTTCAACTCTTTTGTTGTAATACTCCCATCTTTATCTTTATCAAAAAATTCAAATGATGCTCGTAAATTTGCCTCATCCATATTATTTGATGTCATTAACGGATACATTAGTTCAACAAATTCTCTAAAGTCAATAACACCATCATTATTTTTATCAACTTCTGACATAATCTCTTTTGCTTCATCTAATGAACACGGTCGATTGAACAATTTCATCATTGAACGTAATTCTTGTATTGTGATCTGTCCATCATGATCTTTATCAAATAAGCCAAAAGTTTCTCTTAATTCATCTATTTGTTCTTCTGTTAAACCACGACCAGTCATATTTTTTTTTTTTAGGCAAAAAGAAACATGTAAGTGTAAAAAAATAAAAATAGCAAATTAATTAATTAATAATTAGTCTCGTCTGTTATTTAAATATATACCTTCATTGATTTATTACAAAAAGGTCCAGTCATGTGATTAATAATAAGTCTGTTTGTTATATAAGAATGAGACATAATTTGAGGAAATATCTAAAATCTAAAAAGGATTAAATACAATGATTTATTGAGATTACTGAGTGCATTAAACGCAAAGAAGTATTTAATTATTATCATTATATTATTATTCCCTTGGGTTCCAAGTGGAACATAGGGCTTCAACAACACATTTCCACTTTCTTCTATTTTTTGCCGTCATCTTCAGCTGGGTCAACGAATGACCATAATGTCTCATCTCCTCCTCACCAAACTATCTCCTCCATGTCACTCTAGGACAACTCACTCGTCGTTTCCTATTCGGATTCCGCTCAACCAATGACCTGGCACCCTATGTCATTCAACGGTCTTCTCTGTGTATATCCGATCCATCTCCATTTTCTCCTACATATTTTTTGAGCGGTCGGCTTGTTACTTATTTTTTCTGGCCATTTGATCTTCAATATGGAGCCAGCGAAGACAGCTGTTAATAAAACTCTGCAACCTATTGGAAATGCTTTTCGTGACACGCAAAGTTTCTGACCTGTATAGAGGGACCGACTTGACATTGGTGTTGAAAATCCGAAGCTTGTCCTCTATACTAGCTGTCTCAGGTTACCGACCTGAATGTGTACCTTCCCTTTCCAATCCTCAGTGGCTTTGATATCTTCATCTGTCCAGCCCGTGACTGACACGATACTTCCTAAGTAGGTGACGCAAGTAAACTCTGTCAAATCACTCCTGCTGATGGTGATTGGGGCTGGTTGTTGTTGTGCTGCTGCTGCTGTTCGCCGGTTATCTTCATCACCTCTGTCTTCTCTTTGTTCACCTGCAATCCTGTCTTCGCCTGCCTGCCTGCTTGCGTCTTCAGCCAGTTTGTCGGGTTTCGCCTGTAAGTCAGAGAGTTTCTGTGACACTGGATATATATCATCCACGAGCGAAATCAAGATATTCTACAGTCTTCAAATCGGTGGTCCAGAGTATTCCTGTCATCTTTCTGCTCCCAGTCTGATGCATTAACCAGTCCACTACAATTAGGAATATCACCGGTGATAACAGGCAGCCCTGTCGTACTCCTTTATTCACTTCGAACTCATCACTGGGTTTTCTGTTGTGGATCACCTGACATACGCCATTATTACATATCCATTGAATAAGGTTAATGAAGACATGCGCACTGCACGCTGTAGTGCAAAAGTGGTTTCCAAATTACTTCTCGGTCAACGCTGTCTGTCGAAGGCCTTTTCAAAGTCGATGAAGTTGAGCCGAAGATTTAACTTCCATTCTATGCTTTATTCGATGATGATGATGATGTGTAGAGTTGCAATTTGTTCCTTACATGATTTCCTTTTCTGAATCCAGCTTGTTCCGGTGGGGCGAAGCTCTGTATCCAGTGCATCTTTTATTCTCTCCAAGATGATGCGCCTTAGTATTTTACTTGGGATGGACAGTAGCATTATTCCTTGCCAGTTCTTGCAAAGTGAGGCCCAGGTCGCCCTTCTTTGTAGTAGTTTGACAAGATAACCTCTCTTCCAATCAGTAGTAGGCACCTTTCCTTCCTTCCAAACGTTTTGCTATCACAGTGACGTCAGGATATCTGGTCCGGTCTCTAAGTTCGTTTCTAGTGCTTCAGGGAGAATGACGTCTGATCGTGCTGCCTTCCCGGTTGACATTTCAGTAGCTTGATTGTATTTAAGATTTCTGCTTTCGTTGAAGCATTGGTATTCAGTGGCAGTTCTGTGCGTGCTGTTGTTGTTGGTGTTGGTGGTCGTGGTGGTGGTATTTCTGGACGAGTTGCAGGTGATGGTCGATTCAAGGGTCGTTTGAAGTGATCAGCCCATTGTCTTCCTTGTCTCTCCTCTTTGGTAGTTAGAGGCCCTTGACCATCTTTTATTGGTTTCGCCATCTGAGTTGATCTCTTCCCGAATAGAGACCTGGTTATCTGATATAATGTTCTGACGTGTCCTTAGCCTGCGGACCGCCTATTCTGCTTCAGTTAACAATGTGTCATAGAATTGCCTTTTGTCCTTCCTAGCACTCTTCTTCATTTCACCATTCAGTGCCGCGTACTCCGAACTCAGCTTCTCCTTCTGTTGTTCATATTTGTATTGGTTCATCTTCTCTTTCACCACCCTCCTCTCTTCTATTAGCTTCCAGGTACCCATTGAGAACCATTCCTTGTCTTGCCTCTTCCTTCTTCCTAAAATGTATGTACACATTTACTTGAACATCACCATCAGAGATTTCCAGCGTTCTTCCACACAGGTTCGCTCAGAGATGCTACATATGGTTTCAAACTTTGCTTTGATAGCTGCAGTGAAAGTGTCTTTTGTAGTTTCTTCCTTCAGTTTCTGAATGTCGAACTTGAATTGTGACCTGTCGTCTCCTGTTGCTTTGAAGGCTTTCAGCTTGACCCTGGAGGTTCCTTGAACTAGAGGATGGTCTGAGCCCATATCTGCGCCTCCTCTCAAATTTGTGTCCAGTGGGCTACGTCTCCATTTGAGATAGAGATGAAGTCTATCTGGTGTTTGGTGTCCCTGACAGGTGAAATCCAATTGTGGTCTTCCTTCCTTCCTTCCTTTTGAGTTGAATCTTGCTGTCATGATCCTGCAGAATGAAATTGGTTCCCACTGCATTAGGGCTTTGGCTCCCACTGGTGACATCATGATAGCCACTCACTGCCTCAGTGTGTTCGTGGTTGTCCTCTGGATGACCAGACTAGATTGTTGACTCTCCGGCTACCATTGTGGAGATTCCACATCCATTCCTCCTGCTCTCTCAGATTCCTAGTACTTCTAAGCCATACCTTCACATTTCTTTGGCTACCTGGGCAGCCTTCCCAGTCTCGTACATTGTACGGACATTCCACGTTCCCATTATTATTCTTGCTTTCATCAAGAGAAGACACATTTGGTGGCTGACTGGCTTCCCGAAGGCTTTCAACAGACCGCTGTGTCATTTCGCCTCTGCGATTCCAGAAAAGAATAAGATTGCTTTTGTTTGAAGCTTTTGTATTTTTAATATATTTTTTTGATGAAGTGTCTCTAGCGGTTTGAAAGATTTAGTGGTGTGGGGTCGCTAGCCCCCAGCCGAACTCTCCCTCTTTACTCGGTCTAAAAAACTAGCAAGCTAATTAACTAGGCGATGTTAAACGAGGTGAGTCAGCTAGGGATCGAACCCCGCACCACATGCGTAGTTGGCGAGCATTCTACTGCTGTGCCACCGCCGCAAAGTAGAATGATAAATTTAAAAAATTACCGATTCTGAGGCTGGAAATATGAAACCGCTAACTATGAATGATGTGATGCTATGAGAAAGTCTCTCGAACTCTTGCAGTGCATTTAAATGAATTCTCTACACTGCAGCAATAGTAATAATAATTTTCACTGGGTAAAAGTTGACGACAATTATCACTAACATTAAATATATAGTTTTGGGCGAACAAATTAACTTGTTTATTTGTCCTTCTCACTGGAACTCCAGTGAGGTACATCCAGTTGGCATTGAGAATGGATTTCCCGCTGATGACATTGGTCGGTGGTCGCGCTAAAAATCATCAATTGGTAGAAGTTAGAATTCATGGGTCATTGAATTGGGTCCCAGTGGCTGAATGGTATACGGACTTGCCTCGTAACTCGGAGGTCTAGTCGAACCCAGTGGTAGTGCTCATGTCCAACTGATGAGAACTGTGTACTCCCTGGTTTTCAATGATTCTCTTACTGCTAACAATCTGTGGTCAAAGTCGAAAAGCAAATCTTATCCTAACAAATCAACTTTTGAGAATTATTTGTCCTTATTATTTCAGTATGATAGTAAATATATATTTCGAACACTGATGTGAAACTAAATGCAGAAAATGCATTCAATTTGTGTACTCATAACTGCTAAGTGTTCTCGCATCAGGTTAAGCAATGATATTATATTACCCACACTGAAACGTAGATGTTATCAATCTAAACATCTGTTCGTTATCTGTTGAAAGTCCCATCACACAGACTCGTCGTAATTCAAATGCATTCTGTCTATTTTCGACATAGAACTTTGCACATATGTGCGGCAGTTCAAGTCGCCACACTCCATGTAGCACACAAAGCAAGAGAAGAAAGTAGGAGAAATGCATATTAAAGACAGTAAACAGAGGAATAGTAATAACGAAGAACTAAACAGTTTCATTGGAAATCATAAGTCACAAGGAGTGGATGCATCTGCGCCACTGAGAACGATTTTGAGCCATGTCACCAATTGTTTCCAACCATTGGTTTTTACCGTCCCGAGGACCCCAACCAGGAAGTCTACACCTTCCTACGTGGCTTAGACTGACTGTTGTAGATTTCATTGACTGGTGCCATGTTTTCGTTTGACCGCCGCTAGCTCTTTTCCAGCCTGACCCTATATCAGCTAACATTGCCCTGTCGAGGAAGGCGATGACTAGGCATACGTAACACATGTCCTAACCATCTCAGTCGATGTAATTTCACAGTCTTGTCGACTGATTTCCCCTCCTTACCTAGCACTCGACCGAAGCCTAACCTCAATATTGCTCACCTTATTATACCACTTCACACGGGAGATAGAACGCAGACACCTATGATCGAAGACAGCTAATCTTTTCATGTCATCCACTCTCAATGGCCAGGTCTCACAGCCATAAAGGAGGACAGAGCGGACTGATGAGCAGTACACACGTCCTTTGGTCGATAGTCGGATATCACGTCTACTAAGCCAGAGACGGCGTAAACTGGCATATGCGAAACTAGCCCTATGTATCTGTGCTGAGATTTTGTCAGAGATCAACCCGTTGGGGCAGATGGTACTTCCCAAGTAAGTGAAGCGGTCAACACGCTCTACCACTTCACTTCAAATGCA